AAATAAAAGCATGTCTTATCATCGTAATTCTTAATCCGTCCTAGTTGTTATAAAACCACCCACGATACCACGTTCACCGTCTATATCATCAAAGTGAAATCTTTTAAAATCAAATAAAATGAATGTAAGATGCTATAATTGGTAAAGTTTAATAGCTATGTACTTTAAAAAGAAGTGAAAATGGTAGGTTTTCAAGCCAATGTTTAAATAAATCAATACTTGTTACATGTCAAGATTAGGGCAGAATTTTCAATTACTTGAGGTTAAACATGTGAATCTGCGAAACTAATTAATGCAGAACAAGGTATTAGCACAGTATAATATATACTTCCTTATATCTTAACCAACGACATTTTCCAGCATGAACAAAATCAGAAGCCACTCAATAAGTTTCAGAGAAAAAATTCCATAAATCAAACAAATTAAAGTTCATATAAATGAAAAAAAGGCAAAAAGATAGAACTTAAACCATAAACTTTTATGGTCTTCAATTGTTAATCAATTTTATTTGCTTTAGGTTCTGCCTTTACTGCTTAATCAACTTAATTGCCAGCAAACATTTACATTATTCAGATGATCTGATTTGCGTTTGACCCTAAATGTTTTGGAATCGAAAGTTGTTTCTTGATATGAATTTCTAACATCCATATGGTAAGAATTATTATTTGCATGTACCTGGTGTAACGAAATTCATTATTGGGTTAGATCTCATCTATTGAAGAGTAATTTTGTCCAAATATTGAGAGTATGTTTGGATGGATAGAATGGAATGATGAAGGAAATGAATGGAATGAGATATTTATTTCAAGATAATGATTTTAACTATAAATAAGGAACTATTATTTTACAAAATTAAAATTTAATATAATAAAATCTAATCTCTTTCATTCCCATTCCATTTGTTTTCTGATTCCATCATACTAAATAGTACATAACAAAGATACAAATATTAATCAAGAAAAACAAAGATAAAAGTTTAATCTTACATGGTTAATTAAAGAGATATTCTCCACTTTAGAAGTATCAAATATTTCATGGCCAACTACTTCCACCTTCACCTTCATATTACCATTTCATTCCTTATTTAATTCCATTCTCATTTGAAACTTATTCTTAACACATAAGAATCAATGTTTGCCTTCACAACTCAATTAACTTAATCGTTTACATGAGAAGTTGTCATCTATGACACCCAAAACAAGTTTGGGAAGACATTTTATCTGGATTTTATCACCGGGTTACCAAAATCTAATGGTTTTGAAGTGATACTTGTGGTTGTCGATCGTCTGTCAAAGTACTAACAAAGTCTGCCATTTTATACCATTAAAACACCCATTTACAGACAAAATTGTTGCCGAGGTGTTTCTGAAAGAGGTCATTAGACTACATGACATTCCCAAAATTGTCCTAAGCGACCGAGACCCTTTATTTTTAAACACGTTTCGGCGAAAAATTTTCTTATTACAGGGAAGCAAGTTGAACTTCAGTCAGCATATCACCTGGAAAGCGATGGACAAACAGAAGTCGTTAACCGCAGCTTAGAGACCTATCTGATGTGTTTCGCATCAGCTTAAGGGGCTGTTTGATAGTTGTTGACTGAGTTAGAACTTCTGACTGAAGTTCACATCTGACTGACTCAAACCATGTTGTTTGATTATATCTCTGACTAACTGTGATGAATAATAAAAAATGACTATATTACCCCTTGATGGAAAACTTTATATAGCATAAAAAATAATAATGAATTTTATTCTTGATTTTAGAAAAGGCAATGAACTTTGATCCAACCATAAATTCACCATTGAGATAAGTTTTGATGGGAGTTTGTGATACAACAAACAAATCAAGTAATTCAGAATTAGGAATCGTGAAGGTATGCTCAACCATAAAATGTATTTTTTTTTTGTTCAAAAGGAGCTCATTCAAATGACAATATCATTGAATTGACCATAGTTCATACATAGTTTAAACAACACAACCATTGAGCACAATTTTCTAATAATACAACTATTGAGAATTGTGGTAAACAGAGATTAGAGTATAAGTTTACAAGCTTACATATACCTCAAAATCAAATGGCACATCATTACTAAAGAAATGGAATCACAAACCTAGAAAGGAATTACTACAAGTAACAACATCCATCCATCAATTCACTTAGCTAATAAAAGGATTCAGCCCTCAAGAATCATTTAGGTATACACCAAATATTGATTGTCAAGAGGAGTGTTTGAGCTCTGATTGGGAGCTTGATTTTTTTGGTCAAAAGGAGTGTTGAGCCTGATTACACAGCCTTCACCCTATATCCACACACCATCGATCACCACCACCTTAACCCTTCTCCATCTCTATACCAGCCTCTCCGCCAAACTACCAACCATCACCCCAAAACTTGACCACCACCATCATCAGCCACTTCCATCCTTATTCCTCCTGTATAGCCACTACAAAACACCATACCAACACCACCAGGCACCATCAAACCAACAACAATCATCACCACATTACCGCCATACCAACAAAACACCATACTAACAACACCAGGAACCAACTTATCAATTGAAGGGAAATAGGGTGAATATCGAATGTTTTGGTTATTGATTGGTGGACTGGTGTGTTAATTTCTGATACCAAGAGAGAGAAAATGCTGTGATTTTGAGTTTCTTGTTGGGTACCGGACATGCACACAAGGTTACCGATTCAATTACTAATGAAGCAAACACCAAATACCGATTGCAAAAGAAGTCTAGACACAGAGAGAAAATAGATAATACGAACCTAGATGCAGTGCAACAAAAGAATCGTGTTGTTCTTCAAATTGCAGGGCTTGAGTGAGATGAAATCGATTGAAATCTACCCTTCTAATCGACCCTTCAATTACCGATTTGAGAAGTTGAGAGAGTGGCAGGTTTGAGGAGAGCAGTAGGAGGAGAGGTCGATCGACCAGAAAGGAAGAAAGAAGGGAAAATGAGGACAAATGGGTTTCGTACCAGTCAGCTATGTTTATTTCACTTACCGGGTCAGAAGATTGGTTGGCTATAGCTGACCGAGTAAGCCAATTTGGGGCTCTACCAAACGGCCTGACCGGACCAGTCAACCAAAATTTACTGATCGGACCCGGTCAGCTCAATATCAAACAACTCCTAAAACATGGTCCTTTTGGCTACCCTGGGCCGAATATTTGCATAACATAACATATGGCGTCTCCACCAACACCACTCCTTTCAAAATTGTGTATGGGTCGGCCCCCTCCCACAATCACACGATTCATTCCGGCCAAGATACAATGCGAGGTCATAGCACGTGATCTGGTTGATAGGGACGAGGTGCTTAAACAACTAAAGTATGATCTCTCCCGGGCCCAAGAGTGTATGAAAAAAATCAGCCGATAAGCACCACTGACAAGTCCTTTTCCGTCGGAGAATGGGTCTTCCTAAAACTCCATCCTCAAAGGCAACAATCAGTAGTCTTCCTAAAACAATCAGTCCTTTTCCGTCGGAGAATCAGTAGTTTCCAGATCACAAACCAAATGGGACCCATTGCTTACAAACTTAATCTTCCTGCTGAGGCCAAAATCCACCCGGTTTTTCATGTCTAATTACTTAAACGGGCCATACGAAACCACCAGATTGATCTGACACTTTGTAAATGTCTCGAGATGGACCCTACCTACATGCTTATGCCAAAACGATGTTTGGCTATCCGAGAGATCTCAAAGGCTGGTCACAAAACTCCACAATTGGATGTGAACACCACTGAAAACGCTACATGGGAAGATGACTTCCACATTCAAAGCCAATTCACTGAATTCAAGCTTGAGGACAAGCTTGCACCATTAGCAGGTGGTATTGATAAGGAAGATGTCGTTAGTCCAGAACTGATTCGGTCCAGAACTGATTCAGCCCACTGACTTTGAGCCCCAAAAGCCCAACACTTGGAAGGTATACAAGAGGAGACACAAAAGAGACACAGGGGACAAGGGTAATGGTCTGATGACTAACCTCTCACATGACTGAAGAGAGAGAAAGAGAAGAAGTATGTTTAGCAAGGAATGGAGCATTCTCATTGCCATCTTTTAACTTTTCTGATTCGTTGTATTCAGCTATATGCTTGGGCAAGAGGAATCATTATGGTTGATTGTTTTGTTTATCCATTTGAATGAAGAGATTTGCTTCCTTGCTATCATTTTCCTGTTAGGACTTACTCATCTTTTCATTTTGATATCTTCATTCTTATCACATACACAAATCCGTTGCAAGGTAGATCACAAACCTTACAATCAAACACACCAAAAAAGTGAGGAAAGAGGTTTGGGCAGATAAGAAAAAGGGTGTGTTGTGGGTGAACCGGGTGGTTTTGTATTTTTGATGGTAGTCGGGTGCACCTCATGGAGAGCAAAGTCATTGCAACTCTGCTAAGGGCATTTGTAAAAAGGCATGGTGGACAAGATTGGTCTAAGACATCCATTATATAGCAGTTGGGTCTTTTTCATTGGGTTACGACACATTCACAACAAATAATTAATATTTAAGGAGGTTTGCCCGATATTATCATCGCATTGTGTCTTATCAACTAGAATTAGAGGGTGTTGATGACTTGAGTGTTTTAGATTTACCTTATGATTAGGACGTTTGACGTTTAATTTCTTTGAAAAACAATTGTTTTGGCAAGCTGTAAGTTTCATCGGGAAATGGGAAATGAAGAAGATGAGGATAGTTAACATCTTCAAAAAATTTAATTGTTTTGCCTAATTGGAAATGAAATAACAAGGTTGGTTAGCATATTTAAAATAAAGCTACACATAGTTATGAATAGTCAACTGAAATCATTGTTATATATATATATATATATATATATATATATATATATATATATATATATATATATATATATATATTCTAGCATTTTACACATAAATAAGGGAGAACTACAACCAAGTGTGTAATGACAATTACATATCTTCTTACGGTTTGAAGAATATGGAAGATATAATAAGAACTTCATATCTGTCTGAGATGCTTACAACAATTGAAATGGATTGCAAACTTACACTCGTGACATTTAAATATCATTTCATATTGTAATCGGTGACCACATATACTACATTGGCCATCCAACACGGTACCTTGAGCAAATGAGAGAGAGTGTGGGTGACTATGAATTTTATGAATGCCTCCAAACTTTATATTTAGGAAAAAATGAATAGAATTTCTCCAACAGGACAAGCTATAGGTCTCTGTCTCGCACTGAAGTATTGATGAAGCACAAGCGGTATGTACAGATTGAGCACAATCTTTACAATGATAGAAAGATTGATGAGGATTCAGATCCTCCTCACAAATTTCACAAAAGTATTCACTCTTATGGTTTTCAATCGGGAGGTAACTTAGGTTCATGGGATGCTTGTCATACTTGTGCCTGATTGTCTCGGATAATAACAACGCACATTCAGGATGTATATAAATATTGCACATATTGCAATGGAATGAAAGTTCACCTTTATAAAAGCCCATGAGACACATATGACATTGAATATCATACTTATCTCCTTTTAGTTGAAGTATTGAAAGAAGGTGATTAGGGTGAGATTTGTGTGTAATTTCTTTAGGTATAAACCCACATGTAACATCCACATAGTATCCACATTTGAAACAACAATATGCAAACCCGTTGCAAGGCAGATTACAAATAGCACAATTGAACACGTCAAAAAAGAAACCGAGGATGTTTGAGCAGATGAGATAGAGGTTATGTCGGGGGTGATCCGGGTGGTTTTCTATTTCTTGGGGGAGTCGAGTGCACCACTCATGTAGAGCAAAGTCATTGCAACTCTGTTGAGGACATTTGTAAAAAGGCATGGTGGACATGATTGGTTTGAGACATCCATTACATAGCAGTTGGGTCTTTTTCATTGGGTCGTGACACTTTAATAACAACAAAGAGGAAGAGGTTTGTGTGTTGCTTTTGCTTTGTGTCTGATCAACATCAATTAGAACTAACGGGTGTTCATGACTCATGTGTTTTAGGTACTCATCTACCTTATGATGATGGTGATCGATACTTGATTGTTGGAAAAACAAGTAGTGTTTAGGTAGGCTGTATGTTTCATCAAGGAATGGGAGATGGAGAAGACCAGGATGGTCAACATCTTCATAATTTTTCTTGGTTCTGCCAGCACCTGATAAATTAATTGAAAATGGAATAACAAGGGAGGTTGGTCAGTTGGTATATCTTAAATAACACGTAATTAAATTGGTCATGAAATTTGTAACAACAATACTAGTGAATGATGATGAAAAGAAAAGATTAATAAATTACCAGGAGACAAGAAGATGGACATGAATGGCTCTCTTCTTGATGTTGCACAATCCAGATGGGCATAATACATACATTTATCGCATTTGTATATCCAAAGATCTGCCTTCTTGAAATCTAAAAAATCACGACCACATACTCTGCATTTGGGATTATGTTTAGCTTGTTGATCTATAAATGGGAAGGAATATGAAATGTTGAGGGGATGAGTATGATGAAAAGCACCATCTGTTCTCTCTTGGATGAACAATTTCTCTGGTAGGAAAGCACATTCACTATGTATGGTGAAGTCACCACAAAAGGTGCATTGATAGAATATCCCTTTATGCTTCTTCCCACAAGCACTACACTCGCATAAAATGGGCTTAGGGATTAAACACATCAGCAAGTGAGGGTGGCAGGGATGATAGATGGTATTTTTTCCTACTTCTTCAATGGATAGATGATTTTGATAATATTTATCAAAAAGTTCTTCAAGCTTGCCATATCTGTTACAAATATGCATATGAATATGAATATGTTGACAAGTGAAGAGTATGTGATGTGTGGGATGGGTGCACTAACCTTGACATGATCTCAACACAGAATTTGTGAAGTGAGAAATCATGACATGATGACGAACATGTGTAGTAGTACCTATGGTACATATGGATTTCTTCCCCACACCTCCAACATCGGGCACCTCCAAAACCCTCTTTTTTTGTAATTGGATCATCGTCTCCTTCTTCATCCTCTTCATCTTCATATTTTACCTGCAAATCAATGAGCTTTAGTGGATGCGCGTGTGCATATATTTTAAGTACTATCTCTGCCTCCATGATAATTATTATATTTCTCTCTTTAGTTTACGATAATGATGTGATGTGTTAGACTCACAACTTATCTTATCTTGTCTTATTTATAATAAACAAAGAGAATATATGAAACCAGGTGGCCTTTTTTTCTTTCTTATGTACTTTTGCTTTTTTCCTTTTTTAAACAAGAAATCGGTGAAGTGAAACTCAATTTGGTTTAAGTAATTGACCGACCAAGTTTTCCTAGATAATTGCCCCTTATAATATGGAATTGCTTTGCTAGTAATAAATGAATATAATATCATGAAATTATAGAATGTATTTTATACATCGATTCATTATTAAAAAATATATATGATATTGTAATGTGTACAATGTTTTCATAAAGTCTCCAATATTCTGAATTCGGTTTTCATGTTTTATTTTTTCGTAAGTTTAGTACATAACGAGTAATCAAAATTGAAACACACAAAAAGCATGATTAATTCTTTTCTTTATTCCTTTATCATTAGTTCCACCTCTTTAATAATAATAAGTAAGGAATAAATTCTCAATTGAACCATTGGTAGTTTCTTACCTTAGTCCTCAAAATATTTTATTTTTCTAAACTACACATCATATTAAAAAAATGAATCGGCTTATATGGTTTAAAGTCTTCATTATATTAGATTTAGTTTCATATTTTGTTCTTTTTAGTTTAATAAATAAGGAGATTGAAATACACAAAAGCATGCTTCTTTTCATTTTTCTCTAGCTTTAGTACCACTTCACAAAATAAATAAGGAATACATCCCAATTTAAAGTTGCATATTAATCTTTTTGGTATAAAGGTTCAAGTTGATTCATATTATCTGGTTGAGTTTTTAAGAGCCCGAAGTCAATTGGTGGAATTGGTTGCTGAAAGCTCTCATATGATAATCTTTTTCTTCGATCCCATAAACAAAATATATATGAACTTGAAAAAAAAAAGCAAAATGCAAATTGTTCATAACCTTAAACCTTTATTACAACAAAAACATCTGAATTTAATTAACATAAGCAAATCATGTGGATACCACATCATCACATTTGGTCTGATCAATCCACTATGAAAAACATAGTAACCTTATAAGTTAAAAACATTGAAAAAAGCATTGCTAGTTCATGACCTTCATCTTCAATATATTTTATTTTATTATTAGTTGCACGCTTTTCCAAATTACATACCAGATTAAATAAATAAATCTTATTTATAAAAGAACAAAAGGTACAAAGTAATTATCGATCTGAAAATATTCCATATTTAACAATAAAAATAATCTGCAAGTTGTAGCAATATTTATTTTTCAAGGTCTCTTATATATATGAAAGCAAGCAACAAAGAAGATATAAAACAACAGCGCAACAGGCTACCACACCAATCGATAAACTCTAAGCCTAACAAAATTTTGTTTTTTCTACAGATATCACTATGTTATAGACTACTCCTGTAATTAATAAGCTTGAAAATTGTGTAATTAGTTACAAAATTGATCTTAAAAAAAATGATCTTTTATGTGATAATGCGAGTGACATTCATTATTCAAGATTCATTCAAGCTTACTAGAGCAATACAGAAATAGGAAGGCATATATTGATGGCATTGTAATCTATGCACATACCATTAACTACTTGAAGATAACAAGTAGTTATTTATCATAATAAAAATAATATATAATTTAATTTAAAGATAATATTGTAAAATTTGGTTATTATTGAAAGCATATAAAAATTATTAAATAGGTTTATCAAAATGAATTATGATGAAACATTAGTAAATGCATAGCACAAGTGTGATGATTATCAGGATGTTTAACTATCTCTGTGAATTAACTTATGAGATCACATAACTGAAAACTTATATTCAGCTTTGTAAGTTGTCACACCCCAAAACCCAGAACGGCGGAAACGTTCTGGGGCGGAGGACGTCATGTAATGTATCACAACAATGTAAAGTAGTAAACAAGCAACAACTTCATCCATTGCATTAATAGTATAAGTTTCAAGTACATGTGTGTTCTTTCATAATATACAACAATAAAATGAATAATCATAAAATAAGACGAGTTTGGACTGCTCCGTCTTCACAAAACCTGGTCGTCGTACCTGTCTATTTGCGACCTGAGAATACAAGTTATTTTGAAAGAGTAGATCAGCCAAAAACCTGGTGAATTCATAAGTATTAATGTGTTTTTGATTTGTAAAACTTGTAATGAAAGACTTGATATTGTTCTGAAAGAAAGTTCGTGTCACACCCCCAAACCAAGGATGGCGGAAACGTTCGGGGGTGGAGGACTTCATGTATAGCATCATAACCACAATTTCAATAGTAATTCAAGCAAACACAACCAACATATATATAATTGAAAAGTTACATCACTTGTATGAATTACATGTTTCAAAAATCAATTACAATATGTTGTCAAAATATGAAAAGTTTGACGCCTCAACGTCCCATCCTCAAAAGCACTTGGTAACCCGATTAATGTTTTCCTGTGAATACAAGTTGTTTGAAAAGTGTCAACACAAGGGTTGGTGAGTTCATAAGCTTTTATTAATAATCTTATTAGAAGTCTTTCACATGTAAATGTCGCGTTGTTTCAGAAAAATCCGATATTTTCCTTGAAATCCGAAGAATGTAGCCTTACAACCAAAGACTAGAATGTATGAGAAGTCATCGTTTCTTAGTAGAAATGTTGTGAGTTTAAAATGAAGGTTGCTTTTTGGCGGGGTCCTGAATTGGTTGTTTCCTTTTATTTCCCCAGAACTTCCTCTTGTTGTTCTCTCCTTTTGTTCGGTCGGTGGTGGTTATCACGGTACCACGGCTAGCCCTGTGATCTATGAGTTGTTGTGCCAATTCCTTGGCACTCTCAAAGGTAGTGGGTTTCGAGGCCAAGACACTATCTTGAATCTGGGATGATAGGCCCCAGAGATATCGTTCCACCTTCTTCTCTTCTGGAGTGACCATTGTTGGACAGAGGAGTGCTAGGTCGTTGAAGCGGGCAGTATAAGTTTCAAGATCAGTGCCTGTCATCCTGAGGTTCCAAAGTTCTTCTTCAAGCTTTTGTATTTCGCCCCTCGGGCAGTATTCCTTTAACATTAGGGCTTTCAAATCCTCCCAGCTGATTGCGTTAGCTACTGCAGGAGTAAGTGACTTAACTCGGCCATTCCACCAAGTAAGTGCTTTTCCAGTGAAAGTGAATGCCGCATACTTGACCTTGCTCGCTTCGGGACAAGCGCAGATTTCAAAAACTGCCTCGGTCCTTTCGAACCATTGCACCAGTGTGATGACGCCCCCGCTTCCATTGAAAGGATCGGGTTTGCCATTTGTGAAGTCTTTGTAAGTGCACTCCCTCGTACGCCCCGCGCTGTCCCCATGAATGGAATTGGTAGCTCCGGATCCAGAACCGCCGGAACCATGGGTTCCCATTTGCGACATTGCTGCCGCCACGGCTGCCGTCACTGCAGCCTGGAACATTGCAGGATCAAACTGCGGAGGTGGTGGTGGAGGCGGCACTGGGTTGTTGGAAGGCCTTGGTCTTTTCCTTGGTGGCATGGTTCTGTCATAAAAAAAATGACTAGTCGGTAAGACTTCAATAGTGATAACGAGTCGAGTGTTACTGGTTTCATCCCTCTTGTATTTTATCATAACTTTATTATTCGTAATTGTTTGTGTGATCAGGTTATGATGTATAGTGTCCAACATTCAATAAATAAAATACATGCCAAATTTCATTGATAACTTTTAGTACATAACGCTTAAAGAGAAAAGTTTGACCTCATAAGGGTCTACATTACATCATTACAAAAGGTAGTTTTTGGCATTACAAAACCCCTTTGAATAGTGTGATCACATAGTCGCAGGGTCGACCTACATACAAGGAGTAGCACCAACGCGTACTCATAAAATTCTACTACCTAGACGGGAGAATAGCAACGAGCTCTAATCACTGCGACCCTTCTTTGACGGAGGCTGCGATGATGTCGATGCGCCCTGTAGTTCCGCCAATTTGCGTTCGGCTGTAACCATTCTCTCTTCGAGTGCCATGTATCTTTCCCGATACTCTCTTGTTTCTGCTTGAGCCGCGAGAAGGTCTCTAATGAGTTGGTCTCGGTGGTGGGAGTCTCGTTCCAGGTTTCTGGTGCGACCCGTAGTAGACTGTACAATGGCACTTAACTCCCGGACCTGATCTGTCGTTGTCCTACCACGATCATCCATTCTTGCCATTCGTTGTATCGTGACGGGGAGAGCCCTATCAGCCGGTCCACCATGAGTGAGATCATAGTAACCTCGTTGGTAGCCATATGGTGACCGTTGACGTTGTTGTCGGCTCCATCTTTCGATCATTGTTACCCAAGGGGGTTCGGGTCCATTGTAACCAAAACGGTGCGCGGGTACCCTCGCGATGTAGGGAGGGTTGAATACTTCTGGTGGTTCCTCCACTTCGTTCCCAACCATGACTACCTCATCACCTTCCTCTTCTTCCTCTTCTTCCTCTTCTTCCTCTTCTTCCTCTTCTTCTTGGTTGTCTTCCTCTTCTTCTTCTTGTTCGTCTTCCTCCTCGGGCCCTTCCTCGGGATCCTCTTCGGGATCTTCCTCGGGATCCTCTTCGGGATCTTCCTCGGGTTCCTCTTCGGGATTCTCCTCGGGCTCATCTTCAATCCATCCCGCGTTTCCCTGATTGGGAAAGTAGGGGTCCCCGGGTATGTGAAATCCTGCCATGTCGTCTGCACGAGAAACGGGGTTAAGAAGTATGTATAGGAAAATAATAATTTGGCGCTATAGAAACGTACAAATACTCCTATAGTATTTTTAAATGTTTATATTTGGTTCTTAGCGTGTTCTTTATGGAGTGTTATTAGGTTTTCAGATTTGTCGCTCATTACGACTATTCCTTAATGTGCGTAAGTCACTTCTTGGACGGATATAGTTGATCAGGCTATATCCTTCCCAGAACTGATTACACATGCTAAGGCGTATTAATAATGTTCGACTCCTCCTCTTT